TTCACACACAATCCGAAACACTTCCATCAAACTGGTTAACATAGCCTTCATGTCATTTTCTTAGTCATTGTGCTAAAACGTTCACATTCTACTCTTAGAAAGATTCACTTGTACCCTTGTAAGATAAACCACAGAAGTGATCCCTCCAATCCTCTTCCCTCTACCCATTCCCCCGTCCGCTCTCTCTCTCCCCCCCCCCATATTCTTAGGCTGTTATTAGGTTATAGCTTTCATATAAAAGGTATACATTAATTTACAAATGCTTTCTTACATGGATAGCTTTTATTTATTTATTTATTTATTTTTTTGAGATGGAGCCTCAAGCTATCCCCCTGGGCAGAGTGCCATGGCATCATGCTCACAGCAACCTCCAACTCCTGGGCTCAAGCGAGCCTCCTGCCTCAGCCTCCCAAGTAGCTGGGACTACAGGCGCCCACCACAACGCCTGGCCATTTTTTGGTTGCAGCCATCATTGTTGGGCAGGCCCGGGCTGGGGATTCGAACCTGCCACCTTAGGTGTATGTGGCTGGCGCCTTAGCCGCTTGAGCCACAGGCACTGAGCCGTGGATAGCTTTTATAATGCTGAAGTCAGGGCTGTTGGTCTGCTCATCACCTGTCACAGTTCATTGTACCTGTTCATTGCCCTTCCCCACGCACATAAGTCTTAATTGTGTTTCTTATAACTGAAGAACTGAATTTTAATTTTTTATTTAATTTAATAATTAAATTATTTAATAATAAAATTAATTTAATTTAATAACATGGGCAACTGGCAGGTGGCCACCATATTAGATAATGCCATGCTAGATATTTTTGCCTATGGCACTTTTTCCAAAAACACATGGATTCCAAATTATAAAAGTAAGGAAAGAGTCACATGAAATCACTAATTCAGTATTAATTAAAGAAGCCTGTAATTTCAGAAAGTTTTAATTATATGTGGCTGATTATTTTCTTTTTAAATCAAATATATAATCGAGGAGATGGGAGTGTATTTTTGAGAACACACTGCTAATCAGAGAAAGCTTGTGAAATGGCACATTTGTCAGAGAGCACATCTCAACCAAGTGGCTCAGTCACCTAGTCATTCCATCCACCTCCTGTGCGCCCTGCCCAAGCCCTAGGAGCACTTGATAAAACGAGCCCCTGCCCTCGTGAAGCTTTCACTGAGTGCCAATGGACGCCTCCTCATTTGGTGCCTTTTGGGGTTGCCTTTTCCTGAACCTTGACAGAGACTCGGCAACTTACCCAAGGTGCTGGTTTTGAGTACCAATACCACCAGGGCCCAGACTGTTTCCCCTAGTAAGGGAAAAGCCTTCAGAAGCAAAGCAGCTTTCGTTCAGGTATTAAAAAGGAGTTCTCTGCCAGGAGCCCCTTAGTCACAAAGTCAGTCAGTCTGCTAACTCTGGGAGGGGACACCGATGATGTATGTATCTATGCTACAAGTGCCTGCACCATTTTAACGTAAAAAGACCAAGAGCTTCCAGAACTAAAAATCTCTTTAATCTTCCCATACGGGCAGAGAAGCTTGAGTGGCAGTGTTGAGCCACACTGCCTCACTCTTCTGCCCTCGGAGAATGTCTGAAGGGTATAATTTACCTTTTCTGCTGACTTAGGTATTGTCTCCCCCAAACAGTGATTGCTTCTTAGCACTACATTTAAGTTTTATTTTTACTTGTCTGCATTTTGAAAATGTTCTGGCATGAGCACATATTATTTTCATAATAAGCAACTATAATAAATAATATTGTAAAAAGTAGTCCAGGCAGAAACACAGTGAAAGCCTGGCGTGAGCAATGGGAGCAGAGAATTGACAGGCTTGGTCACAGTGGAGGGAGAGGCTTGAATTAAAAACACTTGTTTCATGTCATCCTGATCCGTTTTAAAGAAGGACGAATGCGGCATAGCAAAATAAAGGTTTGTGTATATATTATGTATCTATTTTTTACTTATAGCAATTAAAGGTTAGATTTTGTTATTTTTCAGTCACTTATCTGTTTAAGATGATTTGCCCAGTATTCCAAGTATTTTTTTTTACTCCACAATATAAATAAGTATATTTGGAATCATTAAAAAAACTTAAATGTAATAAGAGCAGTTCATTTTTCTGTAAGACTTATTATTTCCAGTTTACTTTCATTTATTGCTAACAGATTGTTATTGTGAAAATGTCTCATCAAGATATATAATAGTGAAAAAGCAGAAGAAACTCTAAAAAATAAAAGCCCTAACAAGGAATCTGTGAAGAGCATCGACTATACCACATTCATCAGGTTGGAAGTTGTTCCCGTTTGGAAAAGGTGTTCTATGTGTTTCTATGCTTAGAAGAAAGGATTTTGGCTTGGCGCCTATAGCTCAACCGGCTAAGGTGCCAGCCACATACACCTAAGGTGGCGGGTTTGAATCCCCAGCCCGGACCCGCCAAACAACAATGACGGCTGCAACCAAAAAATAGCCGGGCGTTGTGGCGGGCGCCTGTGGTCCCAGGTACTTGGGAGGCGGAGGCAAGAGACTCGCTTGAGCCCAGGAGTTGGAGGTTGCTGTGAGCTGTAATGCCACAGCACTCTACCCAGGGGGAAGGCTTGAGGCTCTGTCTCAAAAAAAAAAAAAAAAAGAAGAAGAAAGGATTTTAGAGGGCTTCTAGAAACACATTTTGATTTCTAGTTGCAAGATCAAAATGTTCCATTTGTGTTGATAACCTCCAGAGAAGCAGAAGATGTAGCTGATGATAGAATTTCTAAAGTATGAAATTGTATTCTGTTTGCTGTTAAACTAGTTTCATATTGCTATTTTCTAGAATTTTTTTTCTGAAGTAACAACTACCCGTGGCTGTATGTGTTGACAGTAATGGTCTGGGAGTGAATAAAACAATGTATCCCATTTTGTTATGTCCGTGTTTGGAAACCATTCTCTAATGAGATGTCCCCAAACAGTGCTGCCTTCATCAAAACACATGGCCTAAATCTGAGTGAGTTTAATTATCATGGGGACAGTGAAATGAGGACATTTAAATCAACTTAAAGCGGAATAATTCAGAAGATTAATAAGCGGCATATCTCAGTCTGCATAGAACCAAATTTTGACATCTCCTTTACCTTGGAAGGAATCATTTTGGAAGAGGGCAAACAAGGTTCATCTCAAACATGTTGTTGATCAGCCAGTGCACCAGAACAAGATCAGCCCAGCCATAGCCAGCATTTTGGATACAGAGATCAGCTCTTTGCATAAACAAACCTCCCTAGGTAGAGATGATCTCTGTATGGTATCTAGGTTACTGCATATTAATTTCAGCCTGAAACAGGAATTTTGATCAAGAGAGACATTTTTATTATCTAACTTAACCTTGCAAGGAGCCACCTACTTACTCTTTTACCACACACACAGTTTAAAGTCTGGGGATAGAAAATAAAAGCATGTTTACTGCAAATAATCCCTTTTTGTGAGTCCTTAATTCTGTTTGTACTGTAAATTTTTTTCATAGCAAACATAAAAAGATAGCTAAACTAAGAGATGAGGGATGTATTCAGCTAGGACTTTTTTTCTAGCTGTCCTGTCTCTTAGGCCATATACTCAAGTTCTGGTTATTCAGCTTTCAGTAAATAACAGTCGAGCTGACATATCTGGTTGGATTATGGGACCTTGATCCCCTGACATGAGTGTTGTCTATCTTACCATGCTTAGTTGTCACGTCATTATTTGATTGTATTAGGGGATATTTTACTATTTCTATGTCTCATTGTTTGTGTTATAGGCTAACGTATGATATCTCAGTCCCCAAAAAAGGCCCTGTTAGATGGTTAACGAAATACAGTTATCAGCATTTAATGTCTGAGAAAGCTGAGGCTCAAGGAGTTAGACTCTTAGCGGAGGCCAGAGGGCCATTCAGAGTCGTAGCTTCAGGGAGGGGCCCTTCTGGACTGTCACATTAATTTGTCCAACATCACAGACAGAGCAGTGCAGCAGATCAAACCTCAGTCCTGGTATTATCCTGCCGTTATCTCATTTCTCTACCCAAACCTTTTTCTTACCCACTGCCCAACGTCATATTGTACTCGTGCTCAAGAGGGCCAAGGAAATAGACATGTGCAGAGAAAACTTTCTATCTGGACACAGGGAAAGAGTACTAATTGAAAAAAATACTTACATGTGAGCAGAGTGCCACCCATATTATGGGACCAATGTCCTTGTCTTCATAGAATTTACATTTCTGCTAAGGCAGGAGCATACTTCAGAAGGGCTAGCAGGTACAGAGAGCTCCATCAATTAATTACAGAGGGATGCGTCATTGAAAATATTTTGAATTATTGGATTTCAGTGAGTTGTGATAAACTTCATCTCTTATACCTCTTTCACTCAATAGTAAAGAGTTGAAAGCCTTGCGTGCTATGTAATGTATCAGCTATTAGAAATCATAAAGATAACTCTGTATTGCCATTATGGCATTTTCTATCTTGGGAAAATAGCAGCCTTTAGTACTATTGTCATATGATAAAGGAGAAGAATTATGAGGCCTGATTCAGTTCATACCTTGCCAAATCTTTATAAATCAGCATGTGAGTTATTTATAAAGGACAAAGGACTTGTTTTTATAAACGTGTTTCTCACCAGTCCAAAGGTAATGCTGAACACAAGAAGCACTTTTTTGGAAATATAATTCTCCTAATGTGGCATTATAACAGGTTACCGGATATCTTGATTTAAAAAAAATATCCAACATTTAATAGCTTATAGTAGAATTTCGCTTTTCTTCAGCTTTCCAATAATTTTCTGAGACATAGTATTGGGGTCATAAAATTGAGAAGAAGCCCCGAGTCTCCACATAAGAATTTGTAAATGGTCAGAAAGGGGGTGGGAACCCAGAAAAGTATAATGAACAATATTATAAGGAAAATGTTTCCTCTATCAGTTAATTCGTTTTCAGAGCCCAACTGCATGAAATTAATGTGATTCCTACCGGCAAATCGTTTCTCCAGTGGTTTTCCTTTTTTCCTTCTTCCTAGATTGAAAAAGAAGAAACAAGCCAAACAAAACGCAGAAACAGCCTCAGCTATAGCTGCAAGGACTCATACGGGCAAAGAAGATGTTAATACCGTCATTTTAGAGCAAGACAAACGCAACAATGCTGTGGAACAGGAATATGTTACTGACGAGAAGAAAAAGAGAAAAACAAATCAGTTAAAAGAGATCAGACGTACAGAGCTAAAGAGATACTACAGTATTGGTGAGTATCAGTGGCACTTACTGCAGTATTTTCATTTTAGAAATCTGTAAGAATATTTCAGAGAATTTATAAGTGATCATACTAATAACAGTAGCCATTTATTGAGAGCACTAGTACATGCCCGGGCTGTGCTTTACATACATAGTCTCACGTGCAGGGATCACAGTGAAATAACGTCTTACTCAGCTTTGTGTTCCGGCATCTAGCATTAGATGACCGCTCGTAGTCATCAAATGAATGGTCCCTTTCCCTTTATGAGAAATGTGTATTTTTCTTTCTCTTTTTTTTAAATTATTTTTTTATTTTTGAGACAGATTCTCACTTTGTCACCCTCAGTAGAATGCTGTGTCATCATAGCTTACAGCAACTTCAAACTCTTAGGCTCAAGTGATCTTCTTGCCTCAGCCTCCCTAGTAGGTGGGACTACAGGCACCTGCCACAATGCCTGGCTATTTTTAGAGACAGGGTCTCGCTCTGACTCAGACTGCTTTAAACTCCTGAGCTCAAGCAATGCATCCACCTCGGTTTCCCGGGGTGCTAGGATTACAGGCATGAGCCACCACGCCCAGCCCTAGAAATGCGTGTTTTTCTTAATGTATAGAGACATGTCCATAAAAATGCTGATAGAAACGCCTGCTCTTTTGGCAATAGAAAATGGAGGAGACATGGCCTAGCACCTGTCATTTAAAAAAGAAAAAACAAACAACCCATTTGGGAGTTTTAGCTAAAGAGAATCTTAAAGTGCATCCACAGTGTTACATGTCCCAGAACAGCCATTGCATCTGAAACTGCCTTAGCAGAAGTGGCATGTCTAGCTGTACTTGGACCATGCATCTCATGCCTACTGTCCTATCACATATGGGCCTGGAGTGTGTTCCAAACAGAATGCAAATAAAATAAATAAAGGGTACCAGTAGTCAGAACGTGACCTTGGCACACAGGTTAAGGTGCATTTGAGATTGCTAGACAAAGGAGAGGAATTTGAGGGAGATCTGTAAGAACATCCTGTAAATACAATGTAGGAATGTGGTCTTGTAGCAGAGCAATGAGAAGTGGCTCTGGAGGGCTCTACACTTGGTCTCTAACCAAAGAGACTGGGAGACATCTTGTATCCACGTTTAATGTAACTTTCTAACAGTGCTCATCAAAGATGAAATGGACTGCCCTTGAGGTGGGAATGAGTGCTGCGTTGCTGGCATTGCTCCCACACAGGCAGATGAGCTAACTGCGGCAGAAAGCATATGGTTTCTTAGAAATCTTAGAAATCTGTAAGAATATTTCAAAGACTATAATTTATAAGTGATCATACAAATAACAGTAGCAGTTTATTGAGCACACTACTACATAGCCTGGCTGTACTTTACATACTTAGTCACATGTGCAGGGATCACAATGAAATAACATCTTACTCAGTGGGCTAAGATGATTGTCTAATGCTGTATTCCGTATCTTAATGGATGCTTTTAATCTCTATTCAGTATTATATAAAATGCTGTAACTGTTAACCAATGAAAGAGACTTGTGATTTTAATACATTTTCTCCCCAAATTTAAAGCATTGTGTGCTATTCCTTATTTCCAAAAAGTAAGAGGATTAAGGAAAATTGCATTTCATATCTTCTTTTGCATCTGACTTTTTGCTGCATTTGGATAGCTTTTTATCGTGGTATACTTCATTGCCTGTGTAACGCTAAGTTTGAAACAATACTCTTCACTTTTTATCTGACCCACTCTTACTTGGCTGCCAAATCAGCCCAGTCATCATCCCTTCTGGGAAATTTTCCTTGTCCCTGCCCGGGTTAGACTTCTCAATGCCTTGTTACCATGAGTTTATTTGATTCCCTGTGTGTACAGGCAGAGGTGGCTTAGCCTGCAGCACTGGCTCTCCAGAGCATCTGCAGCATTACAGATGTTCTTTAAATGCATCGGAGGGAAGAATTAATACAGAGATGAATGTATACTCTGTCTTTGAATTTCATGACAAATGTTATAGGTGACAGTATAGTCATTGGGTGAAAACTAGCCTGTATTTTTATTTGGTAGCGATAAGTAAAGGAATACCTTCATAGCTTGTTATCTTCTCTCAAAAATGGTAGGTAATAATAACAAGTGCTTTGGAGGTTTGAGGCATTTCCACAAGGGAATTCAGTACTTTGATAAAACCTCTGGTTTGGGCCACATTGAATCCAGTGTTCCTTGGCCCTTTGCGCATCTGATGGGGGTGACAAACTCCCATCTAGGCAGGTTTGCTTTCCCTCTTGGGTCCGCCTAGTATATCCATCCCCCAGATTCCCAGACCAGGGCGCTGTTCTGTGCCACCAGGGGGCGCATCAGACCTCAAATTAGAGAGCTTCTCCAGTCCAGCTGTGTGCTGCTTTTGGTGGCTGTAGTCAGGGTAGGAGAGGCAGACCAAAATGGGGGGATCTTGATGACCTGCTGTGAGGATTGGACCTTATTTGGTAGCCACTTAGGAGCCAGTGGAGGAGAATTTCAATGACAAAAGAAATTCCCTACTTTTTCTTTTCTATTCATTTTTGTTTTCCATTAACTGTGACATGAAAATGGCAGGACAAAGGCAGGCTGTGCTGGCCTGAGACCCAGGCTGCCAGAAAACACACGCTGAAGAGAGATTTTGGTCATAGAAATGGCAGTATCCGACGACCAGTAGTGTGTGAGGGGAAAGGGAACGGGTCAAAACTGACAAACTTGGATGCTGAAGGAGGAAGGAAGATAATGGATTTGTGTTTGGAGATGTTTTTGAAATGCCAAGTAAATTTGCCCTGAGGAACTTAGATTTCAAGTGAAAGGCCTACAGATTACTACGGGAAGGTATGAGTTGAATCCATACGTGTAAAAGAGTAATCCAGAGACCACATAAAGAGTCAAAATGAAGTGTTACTGGGCAGCAAATGATTATGTATAGAGGAAAAGATCACGAGGACGTTTAGCAGTATGCTGGTATTCATTTTCTCTGGGTACAGAAATTGCAAGGGAGTTTATTTTCTTTTTTCTTTCTTTCTTTTCTTTTTCTTTTCTACACATAATGTCGTTAAATTTTAGTATTAACAATCAGGGAATATAGGAAGATGGAAAACTAGAGTAAAAGCAAGAGTTTTACAAAAAGAACATTAAACAAAGTCCTATAAGCAACGTGCAAGTAATTACTTTTTATAGGTATCTTTTCCACATCTATACATTACCGGCCTCATCCAAAGACGCATATTTTAACTGTTTTCACTTGTTGAATTATGCTTGTCTGTGCCTCACTTTTGCTAGCAAGTAATAAATTCATTGCTATTTCTTGATACTTTGAAGAACAGAACACTTAAGATACTGATAAAGGATGTTATGGAAAGACTAAGTCATGAGAATGGCCTCCTTATAACAATATGGTACTGATATTAAAAATGTTTTGCTTTGTTTTTGAAAGCGGAGTAGGAGAAGGGAAGCGGAGTAATTACATTGAAGCAGGTGGCATCAGATAAATCTAGATCCAGCACCGAGCGCAGCACCCTAGCTTGCAGTTAACATCAACAAAAGCTTCTACAATGAGCAAACACAGCCCTTCTGTGCTTTCGTGTGTATTTCCTAACATATAGAGACTCCTTTTTCATTTATTGTTTATATAATATAAACTCTTAAGGAATTGTTTATTAATAATATGTCTTAAACATACTATTTTTCAAAATTAGATGTTAAGTAAAAGGTAATACAAGTATGTTGGGATATTTATAAATTTATCAGAAGATGCTTGGTCCGTATTACAGTATCAAGATATATTAACTTGGCACGAATTATATCACAGAATACTTTCATATTAAAGGAATGCATTGTTCCTTAGTCTTAGAATAGTACACTTCCTTGCTTCTAAGAACATGCAGATAAGAATTGGAATTTTACAAACACAGGTAACATTTCAGTATAGGGAAGTTCTTCATTTCAAATTTAGCTATGCAGTCATAAGACTAGAAAGAGGTAGAGACATTTTATAGATAAGGGAAGCAAGCCTAAATTGGCATGAAATATATTATGATTATGTCATACTTATATTAGTCACTTTAAATCATAGTTTACTGTCCTGAATTCAAAAGAAGCTTACCAAGAAAAAATAAATTGAATTTTATTTTCCTTTATTATACATTTTTTGTTTTTCATGATATGAAAGTGACTAATTACTGAGTTATTTCCCACAAAGGCAACCTGGACACTTTTCCATACACAGATTACTTTTTCTTAAGGTTTTCGTTTAACCAAACCAGACTTTTGTTTGATAAGTTAATTTCTAAACATTACTAGGTAAAGTACAAATGTATAATCGCCTTGTTCTTATACGCAAAACTAATGATCATTTCTATGCTTTAGATCTCAAAGAATTAGAGAATCCAAAATTGATATGGATTTTCGTGGGGAAATAGGATGTCAAGAATCTAATTTTCTGTAATCCAGCCAAATGAGTTTAAGGGATTTGAATATAAGATAAATTGAGATTATTAGGATGGAAATAGGCCTGTGCTTCTTGGGACCATCAAGAAAGTCAGACAGATGTTTCGTACTGTGAATAGTGAATACCTCAGTAGTGAACAGGACTAACCTGACAGGTGTCCCCAGAATGCATGCAGTGTGGCTGATGGAATGAAGGTGGCACGAGAAGATGAAAGAAATGAGAGGCATGAATGAAGACTCCAAAAATCAAAGGGCTTCTTGGAGAAGAAGCCAAAAAAGTAGAAGCAGTGATCAAAGGCGGTAATACATTAGGAAAATGCTTTCCTGAGCTCTAACTCAGACCTGAGTGTAGAAATCAAAAGAGCTCATTATATTGAGGTGGAATTAAGGGGAAAACTCTAGCACTTTGATAAATTGTAGCAAATATTTACAAGTCAGGAATAAATGATGAAGACAATTTAAAAACAAAAAATTACTCACAGAGGAACAAGAAGGAGATTTAGACATAGACTTCTCCATAGCAGTGAACACCAGGGGAATTAAAATCTTTTCCTGAGT